CAACAAGCAAAGTTAAAAGCACATTCATCAGGTCATTGTAGTCTATAGGGAATGGGAATGGGGACATTACCAGAACCCTTGCAGTGGCTCTGGTCCTGGTCTCCTGTGAGCCACTACAACACAATGCTGATAAGAATAAAGACAAGAAATGAGACTTAGAGAAGAAGCTGGGTTTTCGGGCTAATCAGTGCTGCTCTGGTAACAAAGACAAAGGCACCCCAGCTTGCTAGTATTTATTGGGTTCAAAGGGAGTATCAGATGACTCAGAGAGTGGCAATAATCCTAAATTGACAAGGATCTTATAATTGGAGGAACTATCATATGTCTCGGAGGGTGGCAGTAATCCTATAACAATGAGAGGATCTTAGGATTTTAGCTTGATGAGGAGCTTAAGTTGATTAGGACAGTGAGATGAGTAAAATGTTCTTACAGCAGTAGGTGGGATGAGTTAAACTGATAAAGAATCTGTCCCTCCCCAGGTGAAACCTTTCTCTTTTTGTATTAGTTTTCTGTTCTCAAAGAACTAGGATGTCTTCATGTGAAGTAATTTTGGCCTTGAGCATCACAGCATCATGGGACTATTGAGCCCTCACACAGCCCTCATCATAATTTAATTGTGAAATGATTTTTTCCCCAAAGTTATGTACAATGGCTCCTGACAGTAGTCCAAAAAGAGTATCTCATATAAAAGGTAGAAACCTTCCAGGTATTAATCAAAGCAGTATATCAAAATGCCTTTTTTCCTTATGAAATGGTCAAATAAATTAGATATGAACATAGAGAACATCCACTTTTTACCCAGACTAAAAGTCATACACAATACTGTATAGACAAAACTTTTAAGAGGCAGGCTATTAAGGGTGTTTTTTTGTTTTTGGTACTGGGGTTCAAACTTGAGACCTATCACTTTCCAAGCAGGCAGCAGAACCACTGAATTAAATCCCCAGAAGACTATTAAATTTTGTTTACCTTCTCAGTTTTAGTTGGTTAAAGGTGTTGTCTCAGAATACTTTTGTGTCCACATATTTACTTAGAAATTGTCTCTATGAGTGGTAGAAATACTCTAACCTTCACTTAACACACTATAATAATTCTTGAACTTTAGGATGCCTATATATTCCCTGAGAAGTTTGATTAAAATGCAGATACCTGGGCTACTTCCCAGAAACCCTAATTATTCTTTGGAGTTGTTCAGGAATCGAATTTATTCAACTGTTCTTAATGCAGATATTACAGATATTATATCACATAAAGACTTTCTGGTTCTTTGAGAACTGAATACTAATACAAAAAGAGAAAGTTTTCACCTGGGGAGGGACAAATTATCAGTTTAACTCATCCCACCATATTTGGGAATATATAGATGAGAGTTAAATAGCGTTTGACAAAACAGTAACTCCTTTGTCCATTGATTGTATCAGTAATTTTTAGAATTACTAATAATTCAAGAAGTCACATTGCTTGATCACTCATTACTTTTTCCATTTTCCTTTAGCATTTCAATTTTTTAAATTTCAAGCAAAATAACTTGTTCTATGAGGAATAATGTTTAGATCATCAGGAACTTTCTGTATTTTCTCAGATTTCAAGATGAACCTAACCATACATACACACACTCCTAAAATGTGGGACAAAATCCATGTGGAACTTCCTATTTATTCTACCACCTAAAAGTGATGGTTACATTTGAATAAGCATGGCTTACCAGTTATAGTTTCTGTGTGACACCAAAGCTTTAAATTACTCTGAAAAAAATGTGCTACAAATATCACAAATGGGGTTCCATGATTTTGAAATTCTTCTACATGCATTACATCATTTAAAAGATAAGAATAATTCTAAATCTAATTTCTAAAAGGTGAGAGGTTGTGCTGCAAAATGTGAGCTATGCTGTTCACACTCAACTGATATCCATATCTTCAAAAAATCTTGTCTCCCTAGTATCTTCTGAGTCATTAAATTTCACATTATGGGGATACTATATTTTTGAAATGTTTGGAAATATTTTGTGTTTTTTCTCTCCCCCCTTTCCACTTCTTCCTCTTCCTCTTCTCTCCTTCTTCCTCTTGCTCTCCCTATCCTTCTCCTCCCCCTTTTTTCCCTCTCTTCCTTCTTCCTCTTCAATAAGGTTGCACTATGTAGCCCAGCTGCTGGTTCCAAATTCCTAATCTTCCTATCTCAGCCTCCCGAGTACTAAGATTTCAGGCATGCACTACCACACCCAGTTCCTTCTCTTTTCAGATATACTTCACATATAATCATGTGGCACGCTGTTGCAGGATCTAAGATTTTGTAGTCTGAAGACCATTGCAACTCTACCTGTTGATTCTATTGTAGCAAAGAAAGGATAATGCTTGTAATTATTTTCAGAATATAAGGTATTTTTCTCAGTTATGTACTCTATTTCTTGGCTCAGAGACTACATTCTTCAGACATTTTTACTAAATATTTTTGAACATAGCAGTGAGCTGTTCAAATATGGTTTATAACATTGCTAGACAAAAAGGTTAAACAAATAAAAGTGGAGGATAGAATTTAGAAAGGTCACTGTAACACTGAAAAAGAATCTAAAAGATGCTGTGATTTGGGTGGAAAGGGTTATGTCATCTATGTTTAAATCGCATTTACTAATCTAAAGATCAACTGGAGAGATGTAATGTTTACATGAAAGTGCTTAATGGATTTAGTCTTTAAATGTTTAGTATCCCCTTTCAAATGGAGTGATATTTTTAAAATTCAAAACTAATTTTGCTCCCAGGAAATTTAGTTTCTTCATTTCATTATTCCATGAACATATGTTATAAGACTTTTGCATGCACCTTATTTAGTCTGCACAATGGTCTTTTGAAGTAGGAAATCAAATCTGCAGCTTTACAGAGCAGCTGATCTCTCAGGAAGATTGAGATCAAGCAGCAGAGGCAGAATTTCATATTCATTCTGAGAATAAAACTCCCCTCAGTTTTAAATTGTAGAGTAGGAAGTACTGGCATCTTTCACCTGGGATAAACTGTGCTTAGCTGTAATAAGATTCTTCTGATTATTTCCTGGAAATAGAAACTTTTCTTCAAAATCAGAGCAGAGTAGTGAGGATGAGGAACACAGGTGAAATTTCAGGTTAATTACTGTTTTCAAAGGACCTTTCATGAGCTGGATTGAAGATTGAGGTATACACTTATTTTTATCACCAAAACGGCTTTATTTTTGTCACCGACACATACGTGACACTTCAATTTTGTTATTTTGTTTGCTTTCTCAAATATTAAGTATGCATTAAAAATGTTTACATTTAAGAAATGTGACACATGAAAGTCCTCTCTGTAAACATAATCCTTTTCCAATATATTTTCCTTTGTTTCATACATAAATAACTTAATCTACAAAATCATAAATAAAACCCTCAACCCTTAAGGCCCAAAAATATACACAAAATTTGGAGTTTGAGAGAAGTGTTTTCTTTGATTTTATAAATAACAGCCAGTACTTGCCATGTTTATTATCAGTCAAACCCTTATCACAAGTTCTGTCTTTTAACTCATTCCGCAAAAAGACTTTTCAGTTTAATTGGTAAAGATGCCATACATTTGAAAAATTGAAATAGCCAAAAGCCAACATTTATTTTTTATATGTCAGAGAAGCTGGCTATTTAAATATTGCTAAATCTTATTAAAATCATTCAGGTAGCTGAACAAAAAGAAATGCTACTGAAAAGTAAATTCTTGCACCATCATTTAAATGGCATCTAACAAAACTTAAAATTTAAGAAACAGTAAAATCTGATTAAATCCTTATTAATTTTGCAAAAAAAAAATTCACTGAGATTCTGTTACAGCAACAGAACCAATTCTATCCTAAATTTTCTAAAATTTATTCTTGAATTATCTCTTTGATGAGTTAAAACTTCAAGAGTAAAAATGAAGACAAATAAGGATTTTAGAAAACCATACTTACAATTCCTGATTCACATTTAATTGGTTTTTGTTTAATGACTGCAAATCCTTACTTCTTTAGAAAATACAATATTTGTTGAAACATACCAGCTACCTACTGATTTATTAAATAACCACCCAAGATTACTAGGTAAGCATTCCAGTTACTTTTTTTTTTTTTCCTTTTGGTACCAGGGATTGAACTCAGGTCCTTGTGCTTGCGAGGCAGGTGGCGGAAACACTGAGATAAATCCCTGGACCTCCAGTTATTTTTATGTAATAAAAGTAAAAAGGAATTTTGCATGTTGGCTACATTTCCTTGTATAAATTATTTTGTAGGCTTTTATAGGATATAAAACTTAGAAAAAATTATCAATATTCCTCAATAGTCCTAAATATTCTCAATATTTAAATGATTTAAACTAAAAATAATACTAAGCTAAACACTGTCAGTACTTTTTAAATTTTAGTTTCTAGAAGTTTTATTTTTTATTCAATACAAAATGATTGGCTCACACTATTAACTTCCCAAAACTCTTCAAAGACTAACTGTTCTTTGTTAAAGAGCAGATTACAAGAAATGTTCTCTATGGTCTTATTTTAAAAACAAGATTCTGGTAAACCTAAGAAATCTAAATCAAAATTCACAAATGGTGGCTAAAATCCTGTCAACTTTCAGCCTAGTACAACATAAATCCACAGTTGTTATGCATAAACAATTCAAAATTAAAGTTTATAATGGAAATGTCAACAAGTCATAACTGCTGCACATCCCTGCTGATGGGTTCCACTGTACTTCAACCAGGCACAGCACAAGCTGCCAGACAGACTGCTTAGAAAATTAAAGCTATCAGAGCTCTAAATAAGGAATACATAACTATGAACACAGCAATGCCAAAGCATTAGAGCCATTTTTAAAAAATGAGTAAGTTGTGATGTAAACACACCTGATAGTTCTCTCTGTAAGCCATTTTCCATTGATTTATGAAGCTATGGTTTTATAATTCTTTTTAAAAGGAAAAATTTATGTATGCTGCTGCATGGAGTAATTTTACTTTACATTTTTGGCTATAATGCAATCTTCAAATCTTCTTGCAGAGCTTGACATATCTCATCAAGATTTCTCCAGAAAGTCAGCTTGTCGTATTTTCAGCAGCCTTTAGTGCTTCAGTAGCCTTTCAAGCTCCTTAGTGACCGACGATAAAGCTTCTGGGTTAATGCCTTGTTCACAAAGTCGTACACAAATAGACAGAGTTTCCATATCTAAGACAGCATTCAAAATCTTTGAAATCTCAATCAGAACGTCTGTGCTCTCCCTCACCGCGCTGAGGTTCACCCCCGCCTCGCCCGCTGCGCCCGCGGCCCCGGCGCCAGTGCCGCTCCCCATGGCGCACGCCAAGGGAGGCGGGAGCCCCACACTTATTTCTATATCTATGTGCCAAAAAATGTTTTTTCTGTTTAAAATAGAGATGAAACCACTTGCTAATATATATGAGTATTCCTGAGATTGTATTTCTATTCGTATAAGATTACCATCAGTACAATGAAAAATTTGTTTTATTGGTCTTGATGGAACATGCTTTCATTATATAGAAGTACTAAATACCTTGTAAATAATTGTTAGTGACAAAATGCTTCCTAATATATTGTTGATGTACTTTTTTTTTTTGGTACCGGGGATCAAACTTGGGACCTTGCACTTGTGCGGCAGGAGGCAGAACCACTGAGCTAAATCCCCGGCCCTGTTGATTCACTTTTGACTAATTTATTTGGGCTGCTTTGCACCAGAACAAAAGAGCTAGAAGGTGTCTGTGTAGCATAGAAATGCATATCAAGGTATGGTCCAGATATCTCAAGTGGGAATCCTAGAATTGTCTAAAGGAAAGAGGGACAGAGAAAGGGAAAGAGAAACATGGAATGAAGGAAGGAGAAAGAAGGAAGAGAATCTGTTATACTGTATTATCTTATTGTGAAGTATTGTTTTAATACATAATTATAGGATTTACTAAAGGGTGGTGGAAAAAACAAAAAGCCGAATTCTCTTGGACATTAATTCAGTGCCAATATATGCTACTGATTTCCCAACTAGTAAAGGCCAGTCAGCTCCAATGGGCTATGAGGTGCAGCATCCAGTGGCAGTCCCTGGCATCTCTCTTGGCCTGGAAATATTGGAAGACACAGGGCTCCAGAAGGCCGGGGAGTTCCAGCAGCTGGCCAGCACAGCTTGGCCCCCCGGATAGGAATATGTCCCAGGTTCTTGCTTCTGGTCATCCTCTTATTTCAGCCATTGAGAAGAGATGAGTCTGCCTTGTAACTGGAACTTCTTTGTCAGACTTTTTCTTATCCTTCTTTGATGCTTCATTTGCTGCAATGCTACCAGGTCCAGGGAGGTGAGGGGGCTGGCTGTCGTTTGCTGAACAGTCTATCCTCCAGAAATGAGAAGAGCCATTCCTTCTCATTAGCAAGAAGGAGCTTAGCTTCTCTACCCTGCTGCTGAGGGATGTGATCAGGGAATCACAACTGATGGAACACAGTTGACACAATAGAGCATATCACTAGTAGAAAATAAATGTGTGATCAAGATGGGAAAGATGCTTTTATACCCAAGCACCAAAAAGCCCATTCAATGAAATTAATTACATGCTGCCAGAGTGATGACTCGTGTCCTAATGAAACAGGCAATATTTTCAAGTGAAGGAAGAAATAACATATATATAACACAGAGAAGTTCAAAACAATGAAAAATTTTCCATTCTGATTAGAATTTTGCATTCTGATTAGAGTGGGAGTGTTCCAACTATAAAACAGAGACTTCCAGAAACACTCACTATTAACTGCTATCTAAATATGCTTTAAAATATTGATACTTACAACACCCTTTTTAAGAACGACGTTGATAACTCACAGTAATTCCGAACAATGACCAAAGCCTCAATGAGACAGTCTTTTAACTTGTAATCTTCATTTAAGGAAATTAAAGAGATCTCACTTCACTTATGACTAGTGCCTTGTAATATAGATGTGCCTCATTCGTTTTACATATATTCTTTATATATCTATTTTATATCTCTATAAATGGGTAGCTATTGTTATGAATTATATCTAGATGCCCCCCATGAGCCTCATGCACTCAGAGATTGGGCTTTTGGTAAGGTGATTGACTCACAGAGGTGTTATAGTTAATTGTACTGTGAGGAGGAGGAGTGTGGTAAAAAGAGGCAGGTTACGGGGGGGCGTGACCTTGTGGGGCGACCCTCTTGAGTTCCTCCCTTAGCTCTCTGCTTCTTGGAGCAGGCCAACTATAGGCTGAAACTACTAAAAAACCAAAAAAAGTGAGCCAAAATAAATCTCTCCTTCTTTAGTATATGTGCTGCCGAAGTGAGCACAAATCTCTCCTTCTTTAATTTGTGAGTGCAAAGGGAGTCTCTTTCCCCTACCCCGGGCTTGAGGAGCCTATGGTCAACAATAATAAATTAACATTTTAAACAATCAACAAACTATTACCAGTAATTATATTAATAAGCAATTTTTAATATTAATAAACTAATATTTTATATGTAAGAGATTACTAATATTAATAAATTAATATTTTGAAAACAATTTCATAGTAAACATTTTACATGCCCAACCTCATGCAGCCCTTACAGTACTCTATGAAACCCGCATTCCTTTCACATTGCATGTGTACAGGCCAGAGGTTGAATAGCTTGCCCAAATTCACAAGCTGAAATGATTGGAGTAATATTCAGATAAGATCTACCTGGCTTCCCTTGTTCTATTTTGACTATGCTTTGGCACAAGTTCTCACATACTGTGATTGTTACCTGAGAAGGAAGTGTTAAATAACATCCTACACTGAGAAAATTCCTCAGCATTTTATTTTCAGTTTCCTAAAATCACCTGCTCTGCGTGGGCACAACTAATCCTTTCTTTAGACTTGCCCCACTTTTCCAGACTACACAGACAGTTAATGGGTAAATAGACCTAATGTTCCTAACACACTCCATCTAAATGAAGAATCTGAAGGACATGTTCCCATAATTGTTCTTTATTTTTCACTTCTATTTATCTGTTTCCTTTTCTCTCTGGTCAGTGCTACTTCCTCTTCACTCAATACCCAAACTGTAGCCACATCCCCTGATCATAAACTTGAATATCTGTGACAGAGTACTCAAATTATGTTGTTCTTTAGTAAATAAATTAGAACTATCTAAAATCTAATAATCACAGTTGCCATTAAACTGCACATGCTTTATAATCTGTAAATGTTTGCACACATAGTTGTCTAAATTAATCTTTAAAAGTTAGTTGGCATGGCCAACATTTTGACATGGTTTTCTTCTTGTTTTTTCTACCTTCCATTAAAGGAGCTCATCCAAATTATTGTGCATAATCCAGCAGGAAAATCAGAAAACAAAAGGCTAAGAAAATGCTCAAGTGTGCCTTGTTTTGTGTGTGACAAAACTTAGAAAGATATAACCAAGCTGTACACAACTGAATACTTTTTCATTTTGGTCCTATTTAGATAGTAATGATAATGTACATGATTGAAATAAAAAGCTAAACATTCCTCCTCAGATCATTTAGTTGATTTTCCTGAATCTTGAAGAATTTTTCTTCATTCTTCACTTTTTAAAAACCATGCTTCTCTTTCTTATCAGTCCAGCTTAGTGAAAGAAATAAAATAAAATTTTAAATTCCAGATTTGATATAATCTTGAGAGGTATATAATTGTTACCATCTCAGACGTCTCTAAGAATGATAAATTGTTCAAAAATCAATTCTAGTAAAAGTCATCTGTTGGTTACTTTTTGCAATGATATTCTAAATATTTCCTGTGATAATTTGACACATTTCCACTATGTTTTCTATAAGAATTTAAGGTTTTCTAGGTCCAAAGGGGTAGGGGAAGTGGGAGGGGAAGGGGAAAGGAAAGAAGGGAAAGGAAAAATTATGAGAAAAGGAAAAAATGGAAACAAAGTCTATGTGAATAGGGAAGGGTGGAGGGGGTGAAGGGAGCACAGGTAATTGGGAAAAAAAATGAAAACTAAGATATATCATCTACAGGTACAAGCACCCAATGATAAATGTAAATGTATTGTATACCTAAAATGTACCAATAAAAGAATTTAAGCAAAAAAAAAATTTAAGCTTTTCTAAGAATAAATGATTTATTCACTACGGAGTACTCAGTACACTGAAAAGAAAAATGTTTTATCTTAATGTATATTACCAGTAAACATTTTGGGCAGCCTTGGCAAAGTCTTAGGTTTCTTGAATATCAAGGTGGTAGATACATTCTCAAAGTCCATCATAATTAAAATAAATGGGATCTCATATTTTTCTTTAACACATCGGTGCAATATAAATAATCAATAGCATATTTTTCTCTTTTGGATATTTCTATGTTGAACACTACAGCATAAGTATTTTTCTTTCGTAAGTATTTTTCTTGCTTATCTTATGTTTTACACTTAATTCAACATAATTCTGCTATGCTCTTACATAATCCTTGAAAACATGGTTTGATCTTTTCTAGTTGAAACTCCACTTGGGTTCTAGTGAAGAAATCTCTTTTTAATGCCCTGAAATATGTTATTCTCAAGAATTTTCAATAAAAATTTATCGAGTTTCAAAATAATCAAATGACTTCAATCTTAAAGGATAGCACTGCTGCTCCTACCTCACAAGCGCAAACTCCCGAGTTCGATCTCCAGTACCAAAAAAACCCCCAAAATGTATAGCACCTTCAACCACAAGTTCTGCCTACCACGATCAGTTCCATACTTCCAGTACTGTATTTTACAGTGCTCTCAATTGATATGATTAATACTCTTTCAAGGTGAATAGCATACAAGTGCAAATCACTATTTCATTACACTAACTCAAGTATCTCTCCGTGTTTCTATTATCTGGGAGGTCCTGAAGAGCTAGCAAACTTTCACCTTTCTGACTCCTCATTTCTGTTGGCTTAGTCACAGACATGTTTGCCATAAAGATGATGAAGCTTCAATTGTGTAGCCCCACACTTTCATGAGGCTCTTCCAAGTCTTTAGATGACATTTCAGAAATTAGTTTTGGCAAACTAATTTTGGTCATTAGTTTTGGCAAACTAATTTTGGTCATTAGTTTTGGCAAAATTTGTCAAAACAAGATATTTTAATTAGACTGCTATGTAGATTTGTAACTTAATTTATGTTAGTGATTTTGTCTTCTTGTCTTTAAGGCTCTCCATTTTTTAAATATTTGATCTCATGAAACCTAGATTATTTTTTGGTGGTATCTTTTGTTGAATAATTAAATTAAAAAGTGAAGGCAAAAATTATTACATCACTATGTTTTAACATTAAAAATTAGTGTTTCTGGCAAAAATTTCCATCAGTCACCAACAGCAGGTACTACCATATCACCCTTGTGTGATAATGTCTGAGCTTTTAGAAAGCTTTTATACAAAGCTCTTATCTCTAAATGAATTTACCAGCAGTTCATTTAAATTTAATCTTCAAGTAAAATGTTGACATTGGAATAGAAGATTGTGCTATTTGTAGAAAGAGTGATTATTATTAAAGTCCATGGTGAAAGAGGAAAAGAAATCTGAACACACACAAACTGAGTGGCTTGCTCATGATCAAATGTGTGGACCCTATGTTGACTGGTGAAGGCCTAGGGTACAAAATCTATTCCTTACAATGTGGTGTTTACATGGCATTTGAATAAGTTAGAACTTATTCTATAGATAAGAAATATAAAACAAAGCACAATTAATAATGTTGTTGGCCTCAAATAATGAACATTTTCCCTTCTCCCTTCCATTTCTTTCCTTTCTCTCACTTTCTTTTTTGTTGTCCCTCCCCTCCCTTCCCTCCCTTCCCTTCCCTTCCCTCCCTTCCCTTCCCTCCCTTCCCCTCCCTCTCCCCTCCCTCCCTTTCCTCTCCTTTCTCTTCTTGATGCAGGTGTTTACTATTATCCAACTGCCGTAAAGATAAGCTTTTCAAAAAAATTTGAACTAAGCTGTTTCTAAACGTAAGACGAAAATGTGGTTTCTGGTTAGTCATCTCATGATAGCATCGTTCACAAGCTGTCTAGCAGGTAAGAAACATCCTTTCCATATTCTCCGTAAATTATGTCAACAGGTTCAATATGTTTTCCATTTCATTAGATCTGTTGAATGAAGTTAGATTTCATAATTTCTTTTGACATTTGAGTCACAAAAGTAAACAGATTTTATATGTTAAGCTTTGCCCTAATTTTTAAATTTTTTTACTTTCATTTAAAAATACACAAGATATACTGACCTTACATAGTAGTGCACCATTGAATTTTTAAAATTTGGATGGGAGGATCCCCAATGTAAGCCTTTGTCTATTCCTGGAAGTAAATGCTTCCAGTAGAACAGTCAATTTCAACTTAATATAATTGAATGTGGAGTTGGAAAAGATACACCACAGCTCACTATAATATATAGCATTTTCACTATCCAGATACCTAGACTAAAGTAACTTCAGTAAGTAATAGTAAAATGTGATAAAAAAGAAATTAAGAAGTAATGGATTTTAAACACATGTTCCATTTATTCTTCATATATTTAATTATTTGTAAGTTAGTATATTTTTAATTCTTCTTTTTTTTGGTACTGGGGATCAAACTCGGGACCTTGTGCTTGCAAGGCAGGCACTGGAACCACTGAGCTAAATCCCCAGCCCTAAGCTCAGTGGTTTCACTGCCTGCTGCACAAGCACAAGGACCCAAGTTCAATCCCCGGTACCAAAAAAAAAAAAAAGAATAAGTTATTTTTAATTCTTGCCATGCTTAAAAATTGATTCACAAAATTCCTGAAAATTAATAATCACTTCTTAAGGGTATTATGACTGGTTCCAACTCACTATTGAATCTTACAAATTTTTCGCTAGTTTAGTTAATATTAGGAAAGTCCTATTTAAATAACTTGCAATCTGTGTAGGCATAAGAAGAGTAATGAAACAATCTCCAGAGTCCTTTAGTTTAAGAAAAATATCATATTATATTTCTGTCTTTCAAAGACAAATACAAAACATTCAGAGAGAATTCCTTTAAGGGAAATTACATTATATTTTTATTTGAATATAGCATGTTTTCTAACAGTCAGTTTTTCTAATACCTTCATCAGCAACCTAACTCAGTAGGTACTCGTTAAACTGCTGTCCCATCCTGGCACTGCTGTCTCATCCTGTTGTACATCAGTCTCTGCTGACCCCTTTATGATGAGCCTGAGGAATACTCTATTAATTTCTTGTTTATTTTCAGAGAAATAAAAAGTAATATTTTATTTTGAGCAGTAAATTTTATTATGTTGAATCTAGTTTCCAAAACAGGATGATGTCATTAGTACATACATTTTATCAACCTTCATAAATATATATATATCAGCCACAATCATATACACATATATAAACATGAATAATATATGTGTGTATATATATATAATGTAAATATAATAATGAAAACTTTTGGCAAAGTTATTGTGGTAAAGTCTTATTTTTGTGAATGAGATGAAGCAAATGTATGATTAGTAAAAAAAATTCATAATAATTTTATTGACCTAAAACTTTAGGGCTCCAACTTTAAAATATAAATATCTGTGCAGATTTCAGCCTTAACAGTGAGGGGCCAATGCTACCATACTGATTAGCTTCTCAATTATTTGAGAAATATTTGAAACCACAACTCAAAGACTTGCTTCAGGATCACTTTTTTTCTTTTATTTTTAGAGTTTACCTGGCACAGAAGATATGGACATGGAGGTAAGTACCTGAAAGGGTACATCTTTGAAATATCTTAGATTAAATTTTATTTTATGCTTTAAGCTATTGCCTCTGTAAACTTGAAGGCAAATAATTAATGTTAGATCACAGAAATTTTGTGAAATTTTTTTTGAGAACATAAAACAACTTGTTCAATTACTGAAGTGGGATTGTAATCAGTGGAAAATACTCAATGTGGTCTGTATATTCCCTTCATGCTTTGTAACACGGCTGTGTGAGTAAATTTTGAAGTAATATTATAAATCATGTGACTATTTCACTTACTTTTGGAAGCTTTTCTTCCTACGAGAGAACTAAAGTGAGTTAAATTGGAACCTTAAGATTTAGTTCAGCTAGGAATGTACAAATGTTACAAAATTTATTATTTGAGATGTTTTGACTATCATGAACAATCCTGCTAATTGACAGTCTACTTTGACTACTGAACATTTCTTGCAGAAATTGAGGCAGCAAAGTATACTGAAAAAACTACATAGTCTAGAATAAGACCAGCTTATATTTGCATCTTCACCCTGGTAATTCAGTAGCTGATCTTGTGATTTTGCATAATATTTTTAGGGTGCTTTAAACAATTTATTTAACTGAAATGCCATATATTGACTTCCATTTATTTTGATACATCTTGTCCCCAAGGTGACTGAGAGGATCTTCAATATAAATATTTCATAAATATTTAGCCATTTGGGTATACATCTGCATAATACCTCATATCTTTCAGGAAGAAAAACACTGAAGAGTAAAGACCTGACACAGTTAACTAGGTATAATGAGAATCTGCTCCAAATATTTGTTTCTCTGAGGTAAAGGCACCACACACCTGTTCAATTAAGAAAACCATCCTTACAACACAGGATGATTTTTTAAGTAGGGTTTAGAGCACTCAGCAGATAATTATGTGCTACTTGGCAGAGTTACATCCCCAGCTCATGCCATGAATTCATAGGGAATAAGTTCCAAGAACTCAGGCTCCTTCCCATTGGTTCTTACAAAGTGTGCTTCTCTGGGTGGGGCAGGTTGGCACTTCAGTTGAACCCAGGTACCTTTCTCTTTGGCTTCCTTCTTTTTCTGATCATTTTCCTTGACCCGTTTCAGGAAGCTATCTCGACTCTTTGAGTGTTTAATATGCTCAATATGCACATTAATCCTCTTGGCAAGTATCTCACCCTTAACTTGCTTGTTTACAATGCCAACAGCATGCTGGGTAACACTGTAGACTCTTCCAGTTCTTTTTTTTTTTTTTTGGTATGGGTATCAAACTCAGGACGTTGCGCTTGCAAGGCAGGCAGCAGAACCACTGAGCTAAATTCCCTGCCCGGCTCTTCCAGTTTTGCCATGGCAACATTTGAATGGCATTCCTTTTTGAACAGTACCCATTCCCTTGATGTCTACAATATCACCCTTTTTGTAGATTCTCATGTATGTGGCCAAAGGAACAACCCCATGTTTTCTAAAAGGCCTAGAGAACATATACTGGATTCCCCTCCTCTTTCCCTTTGTGTTTGTCATTTTCGCACATTACAGATGGCAGTTCTGGCAGAAATCCTTGTATAAATTTTTCAACTACAAGGAGCCTCAGCTTTTCAATATGTAAAAATCACAAGATTGGTTTGAGGACTAAAATAAGAGTGCCATGAAAGCTTAAAGCTTAGTGCTCAATGAACATAGTAAAACTGGTAACATAAAAGCCACTATAACGGGAGGAGAATGAAAAATCAGGTGGAATGATGAGCAATAAGCACTCTAACTTACATAACAAATTAAGAATATTGAGGCCTAACAGAGAAGAACTTCCACATGAAGAACTAAAGCTTAGAAAATTATTAGCCCAAATTCCATCGAAGCCATTTCTGTTCCAACATTGTGGGTTGGAAATCAATACATGTAAGATATATAAAGATCAATAAGATATTTTCCTTGAACTCATGACTCTTAGCACATGGGAGGAAATAAGACAAGTAAATAATATTTTTATAAGAAAATTTATGATGAGTGTTTAAAAAGAATTATTTGAAGAATTAAGGAATATTTAATAATGGTAATAGGAAGAGAACCTTAAAGTATTTTAAATGTTAAAGTAGAATTCTACATAGAAGAAGTTATTATTAGGAATTTTATTTTAAAAGACTTTATTGTCAAATAAATTTGAGAAAATCTGGCAAGTGTCCTAGGACTGTCATGATAAAGTATCACAAACTAAGTGACTAAGAACAGAAACTTATGGTCTCACAGTTTTGGAAGATACAAGTTCAGAGTCAAGGTGTGAGCAGAGCCATTCACCCTCTGGAAACTGAGAGAGAGGCTCCTTCCACCTCTTCCAGCTTCCAGGAGGCCCAGGTGTTCTTTGCTTATGGCAGCAAAATTCCTATCTCTGCCTCCAACTTCACATTTCATTCTCCTTAGATCTCTTCACATCATCTTCTCTCTAAGAATGTCTTTCTCCATCTTTCAATTTCCCCTTTTGTAAGAAAGTTACTCATGTTGAATTATGACCTACCCAATGATTTCACTTTAACTTGATTCTTTCTCCTTCCTTCCTTCCTTCTTTTCCCTTCCTTCCTTCTTTCTTTCCACCCATCCATCCATCTGTCTTTCATCTGTCTTTTTTTGGTGGGGAGAGAAAAATTCAACCCATAGCATTGCCCTAAATAAAAAGTATGGTGAGTCTTTGCAAAAGTTATATGATATTCAGGTGCTCCCTGAGCTCACTTGACCACCATGCTCGTAGTCACTAATGACCCCACTTTCTACCCCCACACACAAAATTTAAATCCTGAAAAACTCATACATGCTAAATTCAAACTTATGACTCCTATCCTCAGATGGACAGCTGAGGCTGCCCAGCAAGCATGCCACTCCTCCAGCACATTCCCTCCCTCCCTCTCCTGAGTCACATCACAGGGCACCTCTTTCCTCAAACCTCCAACTTGCTTGTTGGGTCTCACTTTCAGGTGATGACTTTGCTTCCAATTGCATGGGGAAATTAGAAAGGCTCAGAAGACAACTGCACAAACATCCTACCATATCAGCTCTCGACCTGCTTCTGGGCCCATACGCTCTGCCTGATTGTCTTGCAGATGCTGTCACCATTCCAATCCCGCCTCTGTGTGCAGGACCTATCTATTTGGTCTATTTAAGTTCATTGCTATCAAAATTGTCACTTTTCAGCTCATTATCAATTTCTCCCTTTCTGCTGGATTACTGCTGTGAACATACAACATTCTGTAGTTTCTCTCACCAATGATACCATTGTTAATTCTGTGGCAACTCTCAGACTTCCTACTTTCCTTGCTTGCTTAGTCCGAGTATCGTATACAGACACAGCAGCATTATGTAGGTGAAGATGTGTTTCTTTTTTCTTGTATCCATCTCTTTTTAAAAACTAGGAGACCTTTTCTCAAGCCTTACAATAACTGTCCAGAGTGCATCACACATTCATATCCAAAGCCATCACTGGCAGAAATGATGGAATTAAAGCTGATCAACTTTTACTTTGAGTCTTGGAAGGAAGAGTTGATTCTCAGCCAAACCTGAGCTTTGTCCTATTGTTGAAAGGGAGAATAGACTGTGGCTCTCCCAAACCCTCAAAGTGTCCGATGTTTGCCCCAGCACTTTGGTGATGTGAAATTGGAATATTTTATTACAAATGAAAGAGTTCTATCCAATATATCATCTTACATAATTAATAATTTTAAACTCATTTTATAGCAATCTTAGTAACTTAGATGACTAATTTTTAAGTAAAACATATGTATTAAAAATAGAAACAGGGCTGGGGATTTAGCTCAGTGGTTTCGCCACCTGCTGCACAAGCGCAAGGACCAAAGTTAGATCCCTGACACCAAAAAAAAAAAAAAAAAGAAACAATTTATGAAAAATAAATTATACTGAGACTTAAAACCATTAAAACCAAGTCTACCCTTTCTAAGTCTTTAAAAAGTTTCCCTTGTTATTTTACAGATTTTGTGACATGAGTATTGTACTCTTTGAGATAAGAGAATGAACATAACTGAGTTGTATGAAGTCAACTTTTAACTTTCAGATAGTAACTACATTATTTGAGAGTAAATATATATTTAAGGTGCCTTTCCATTCATACTCTGCTTTTACTTTTCTATCAGAAAACAAAAAACAAGCTGCTGCTATTTCAGGACCAACTTTTGTCCACAAATCACAAAATGAGAATAAATATCTTTTTAATTCCTTTATAAGACAGTATTAAATGTATAAAGGGAAGTAATCAAATAGAAGTATAAGTATTTATGAGAATTAGAAAGTGAAATAATCAATGCTTTATACTTTGCACATTTAGAGTTATGGTGTCACATTATAATTTACAGACCTAATATTAAAAAAAAAATACTTCATTGCCTTACTGGGGGAGGGCAGAGAGGAAATTTCCCATATTATTACAGAATCTACCATACAAATTTCCTGGATATTTCATCTCGTATTGGTGACTTAACATTATTCCCAGTACATTTTCCTATCTCTAAATTTGAGTAGCATTTATAACATTTAGTGACTTATCTTTATTCTGTGATACAGTCACTCAGAGCGTCATTAATCAAGGGAGCACAGAGGCAGTCCCACCAGCAGGAGCACAGTACATACAAGGACAGTCAGGTGTGAGGTAGTGACAGAAAGGTGCCCTGCTATGTGTGTAAAGCTCAGTGTCTGGACATTTGAGAAATGAGCCACAGGTCCAAGAGATATGCCAGGCTCTCCTTGGGAGGGTAAAGCCACACTAAGGAAAATTTAGCTTTCTTAACCTTTCTGCTAGTTTGACCCTAGTCTTTGTTCTGATAACTATATTTCAGCACATTTTTCAGAAAATTACTCATGTTGCAGTTTTAGTTACAGTAAAATAACTGCAGTTTTACCTTGTACCCATGACTGTAAAAGAATAGGCATAAGAATATTCAATCCCAAGCCCTAAATGCCTTTACTCTTTAATCAGGAGGAAGTGGTTGGTAATGAAGACAAGGAACTGTACTGTATTGAGGAAGTATACTCTGAAACAACTTCAATACTCCCTCATTTAGACAGTTTATTGTATTTAAGGAGAGTTTACACCACTCCTCACTCATAATGAGAAGAATATTATGAATATTGTAAAAATTCCACTATTAGATCATCTTCAAATTTTCTTGCCATTGCCTTTTTATATTGACACTTCCTGAGAGTCTTCTTACAACATACTTATGTAACATTTTTTTTAATAACCAACAGATTGAGATGACATATTTCAGAATGAGAAAATAACTTTGTTTTAACAAGGATATAAAATGAATTTGAAAACTCTCAAGCACCAATTGTAATTTTGTTTTCAATTTCCAGAAACAAAATTGATAATAAGATTCCAGAGGACAATCTCCACATAACAAAAGGGGAAGTAATTGCATCCCAGATCATGCAACTGACTGATTACCTTCGTTGTGAAACTGAAAATTGTACTGAAGGAAAAACAGTGCTTTTTGCCTGCTGTCCATATTTGTAAATGTTATGGCAAAATTGCATGGATGATTTTTTGTTATTAATCTTTTTGATCAATTTAAAAATGAATTTAGTTCTCTAGTAGATTTATAATAGTCACATTATATAGTAGAAAATAAGAGTTTGCTTTAAGAACAGATCAAAAGAAAATGTAATATAAAGGGTTATATTTTCAGTTAGCTTGAGAAGTTATCTGTAGCTGTCATCCTTTTCAGGAGAAGCTATCTGGTAAGGAAAGGGGTATTTATTTTTCAAATAATCTTAGTTTCTTTCTTAAACATAATTCCTATTTGTTGCTTTGCCATTTAATTTCACGATTCTTCTACAGCATCAAAATTGCCATCTAAGCCTTTCCATGTGTATAGAAAAAGGCAATAAATGGCACTGTTTCCTGTAGGATAAGTATAATGCTCCCATTAATGGATCCCTTGCTGGGCCTTGCACTGTGTTATCCTGGAAAGGTATCTTCTCTCAACATGCTTGTTGAGTTAATAGGGCAATGAGTTCAGGTAACATCTTCGTGGAGGTGATGAGATTCATATTTGAAGTTTCATGCTGAGCATAGCAAAACAATGCAAATGCTTGTTTGGGCTAATTTGTCTTTCAAGAGCCCATATATGTTCCCCAAAGAAAATAATTAAAGCAACTGTTAAACCATCAAGTGAAACCCATTGTTTTGTTCAGGCTTCAAAGTTTTAGGAAAGCAAGAAACAGCTGTAGGTGTTTTAACTGGTTATTAACACATTAAACAGACAGATGGATGAACATAAACACATAAAACAATTATTTTTAAATTGGATAGTGCACTCTTAGATGTTATTGGCTAAGTTGAACTCTAATAATCCTTTTACAGTTTTTAGGTTTGTAACTATAAATAGATTAGTCAGAACTTTTCTTATAGGTCATAGGTTAGCAGAAATCTCATAATAAGAATCAGAAGGAAAAAACCCTTTTACCTCTGTGAAAGCGAAGACTTTTAAAGAAAAGAAATAGGCTGATCATTTATCTTATTG